GTCATTGGCTGAGAAGAAAACAGCCAAAGCAACTCCAAGTACAGCCTCTAGCTCTAATGGTGGTGGTTCCCCAAAACGATACCGCCTACTCTCCGAATTATATGAAAACACCGATGAAATTGAACTGCCACCAGACGAACTCATGTTGATGAGCAGTGAAGAAGAACTTGCAAGCTATAGTGAAGCAAGCCGAAAGAAGGAATGGATACAGGCTATGAACGATGAGATAGCTTCAATTGAAAGAAAAAAAAGAACACCTGGAGCTTAGTCCAACTCCCAAGAGGAAGGAAGCCAATTGGATTAAAATGGGTCTTCAAGGTGAAACGTGACCCAAGTGGAAGGATTGCGAAGCACAAAGAAAGGATCGTTGCAATGGGTTACGTTAAAAAACAGGGCATTGATTATTAAGAAGTTTTTCCTCCAGTGGCAACAATAGAAACAGTTCGAGTCATCTTGTCTCTTGCAGGCTCGATTGGGTGGCGTATGCATCACCTGGACGTGAAGTCGGTGTTCTTGAATGGCCATTTAAATGAAGAGGTATATGTTTCACAACCCCAAGGTTTTGATAAGAAGGATGAACCTGGAAAAGTGTATAAACCCACTAAAGCCCTATACGGCTTAAAACAAGCTCCCAGAGCTTGGAATTCATGTCTAGAAAAATATCTAAAGAATTTGGGTTTCAAAAGATGTGCCCAGGAGTACTCTGTGTATACAAGAACAAAGAGTGGAAGCGGTCTGATTGTTGGAGTGTATGTAGATGATCTACTTGTGACAAGTAGCAATCCAGAAAACATAAAGGAGTTCAAGAAGGATATGAAGGCCAGATTTGAATTGAGTCATCTTGGTTTACTATCATACTACCTGGGAATTGAAGTAATCTAACAAGACAAAGGAATCACATTAAAGCAGGAAGGTTATGCCAAGAACATTCTAGTCAAAACTCGCATGTTAGACTGCAATCCCACCAAAAGTCCAATGGAGCATAAACTCTCTTTGACCAAGGATGGAGATAAGGAGCTGGTAAACCCGACTGAGTATAGAAGCATTGTTGGCTGCCTAAGGTATCTCAGTCACACTAGACCTGATATAACCTTTGATATGTAAAAGGAACCTTAAGCCATGGTTTAGTCTATTCTAAAGGAGGAGAAAAGATCAATATTTCAGGCTATACTAATAGTGACTTGGCCAAAGATGTAAATGACAGAAGAATCACAAGGGGAATGGCGTTTTATGTAAATGGAAACTTGGTCACATGGGCATCTCAAAAGCAAATGGTAGTGGCACTTTCAACTTGTGAAGATGACTTTATTGTTGCCACTATGGCAGCTTGTCAGGGCATATGGCTGAGGAGACTTCTTGCAGAAATCACAGGTCAAAGAGTACCACCTGTGACACTGTTTGTAGACAACCAATCAGCTCTTGATCTGATGAAAAACCCTGTATTTCATGGTTGGAGCAAACATATTGACATCAAGTATCATTTTATCAGGGAGTGTGTTGAAAATGGAGAAATTATAGTGACTCATGTGTGTGGGAAGAGCCAGAAAGCAACAAAGTCCCTAGCAAGAGTGAAGCATGAAGAGATGAAGGACTTAATTGGAGTGAAGGAAATTCAGAATTAATGGGGAAAATGTTAAGAATAATTCATAATTATTATTTTATGCACATTTTTATTAGCTTTAGAATAAATCAAAGAAGCCAGTGAAGTGGTCCCTGGTCTACAACATCTAGTCAAATTTGTTTCCTAGTTTTTAGCTAAGCTCTAGTTTAAATACACAGGAAAATGTACGTTGTTAGTTACTCCTAACTTTATTTGTTTTGTTCAGTGAATAAAGAACACTTTGCCTTAATTATCCCATGTGCCTACTACTTCTTCACTATATCTTCTCTGTTTAATGTGCAGCTTTCTTTAAAAATGTTTATTCCAGTTTTATCCTTTCTTTAAAACTGTTTATTCCAGTTTGCTGTGTTTTGTTTCATATATTGGTAATAAAAGTCTTTATTACCCCTGCAATAAACCAACATACCTATATATATTTGATATGCATACCAAACTTCACCAGCATCCCTATGTTCATGAAAATTTGTCAATTCATCTGCATATGTTACATCCCAGTAACTTTGATACCCCAACCTAGATGTAATTGTTTCAGCATTAGGTTCTTCCTTGTCAGAGCTTTGAATACATTCCATAGAAAAAAAGTATTAGCGTTTTGCAGCATATGTGTTTAAGCAGATTCTATCTCAGAAGAAACTAACATATAAGCTACCACATTATTGAAGGTGATTTAATGTTAACGAGTTATATTAATAGTTAAAGTTCTGGTGATACAACATTTTAATTGAAGTTTCTTCTGTTCAGAGATCGCAATAATCAGATAAGTGTTCATCAAAATTGGGGAATAATTCTTGTTTTTAATGTCTATAATGAATGTTAGGTATTTAGCTTGTGTGATTCGGTAGCAGAGATAGATATTATCATATTATAGAATATAGACAATACCAATAGTTATCAACTAATCATGATCTTCTCTGGATTAATAAACACTTCACCTGGGTTAATCTACCCCAATTTCTACCGATGACGGAGTCTAAGAAGCCAAGGAAGGCTCACCGGGAACCGATAATTACCTCCTCCTCCTAATGAATAAATCAATCGTTCTGATCTACCGGTCGCTACTTGTCCTGATCCATCGGACTACTTGAGTCCCCTGAACAGCCAAGGAGACTGCCAGAGCGGCCCCCTAGTTGCGACAGACAAGAGAAGCGTCACTGCTTCTCCATTCTCCTTTCGTCAAATCGATCCCGCACCAGAGGTGCTTCCCCTTTCTCGATTGATTACAATCATTGAGCCACCATGGTTGCTTGCGTTCCCATCTTCGTTGCTCGACAGATGAACCACGACCACCAGACCAAAACTCCTGCTAGTTGCTGAAGAGCTCGTTTGTAAAATTATAAAGCGACATTTCTAGACGACATGCCTTTAACAAGCACCCTCTGCGTTTTTTTTGTTAGACACTAATTTTAGGGCATGTAAAAATGCGCGTCCTAAATACTTCAAATTTCTAAAGATCTAACATTATTTTTAGGGCACACCCTCTTGCGTATCATTAACCAGTGTGTGTCGTAAAAAGCATGTCATTAAAGGTCTGTTTTCTAGTAGTGATTATGAAGATATTAATCATGCACTCTATGTTTCAAGTCACAAATGTAGAGTTATGTTGATGTTATACTTTCCATTATATTAAACATAAATCCAATCCTAAGTCATGATGTCATACTTTCCATTATATTCCAAATACAATTGTAGAGTTATGTTGATGCCATTCTGTCATCCTTTAGTAAATCAAAATCATTTTAGCTTTATATTGAATGAATATTTTGAATTCATAATCCATGTTTTAATACTTGACTTTATTTCTAAATCATTTTCATTCGATTCCAATGGTAAATCATCACTGGAATCACTAAGTTCAATACAATAACAATGAAAATGATGGAATAATGACTAAGAAAAACATATAGATATACATATAGTTCAAATAATTTAGATTTTAATCTTTTACCATTGCTAGAAGCTAATATACAACCCAATCGTGAAGTTATAGTTGCAAAAACTCCAATTCCATCGTTGAAGTTGGAATTTGACCGTTCATTGCTTAAATGGAAACCTCATTATGTTCTAGAGTACATTTCCAACATCAAAATAAACTCATAATCATTAATGACCTATGAAATTCAAATTTGGTGGTGAGACTAAACCCTAGGTTAAAATTAAAGGAGAGTATTAATAGATTATACCTTCAATGTTATAGTGAGTGATTCCAAGATTTTAAATCTTCACTTGAGCTTCAAACCCTAGTTCTCGATCTTTATCTGAAGTTAGAATTCGCCATGGAGAGTCTCCCTTAAATCTTAAATCTATGTCTAACTCAAATGAAGTTGCTTGGAGCAACAAATTTAGATCGTAAGATGTTTAAATCTATAAATATTTAGGATTTATGTAATGAGAAATTGTTTGGCTTTTAAGAGTTGTAAATTCAAAAGTTGTTAAAATTTTTGAATCTTTAGGATATATGAACTAAAAGAACAAATAATCTAATTAAATAGATTTTTTTAGCATGAAACTTTCCCGTTAAGCATATATATGGTACTATACATGGTGGACATTCATGTTCAAGTTTTAAATCAAGTTCTAAATTCAATTCTAAATCAAGTTCAAGGATGGAGGTAGTGAGAGATGGACGGGTGGTGTTGGGAGGTGTATGATGATCGTGCTAGTTAGAGATAGACTTGGTGAAATATGTTCTTTGTAGGTTGGATTTGCCGTTCAAAACAATAATAATAATAATAATAATAATAATAATAATAATAATAAACCAAGGTTCTAAGATTTTTGGAAGTATATACTATATATTTAAATTGGAAATATCATGTGGATGCCATGTTGACCCTTTCTATTGAAGTTAGCACTACATGAACCCCCACCTCACCGATATTACCCGGAGACACTTTTTGCCGAAACAAAAAAATGTTAAAACATATAGACAAAAAATTTGTAATTACGTCGATATTTAATTTAGGGACCGGTAGGCGGGCAACATACCCTAAATTGTAAATTCCCAATTGTTTGACATTCTAATTTGGTCTCTCCGATCGTATCTCCATTGTGAATGGGTAAGTTTCTACTTCATAAACCTTCACGTATTTAGTTCTCGTACAACAAATGTCGATATCCTTTTGCTGTTGAGTCGATTTATTTGTGAGATTTTGGTCGAATTATGCTCTTTATGCTTAAATTTCATTGTCAATTATCACGTATAATTGGAAAACATAAATCAAGAAAACCGATTTGAGAAGATCTATTACATACGATTTGAAACATAATCGGATAGTTGTTAATTATGCAACTCAGCGAGTATTAAAGGGTTTAAGCTAGGTTTTTCCTGTATATTATTTGGTCATGCAATTTCATTAGATTTATATCCCATTTCAATATAATGACAGGGAAACATAAAAGGAGGTATGTAACTCGTGTTGTAGAAGACAGACTCAGTAACTTGCCAGGGCACTTAATAGACTCAATCTTAGAGCGGGTCCCATTTGAAGATGCTGTAAAAACAAGCATCATATCAAAAAATTGGAGGTACAAATGGACCTCAATCAAGGTCTTGACTTTTGATAACGACTTCAATGTAAAAATTGCAAAAAATGGAGCTATTGATTACAATGAATATATAAGCACCATAAATCAAGTGTTAAACCTTCACAAGGGTCCAATCTCAAAATTTGTAATCTATATACCACCTATGTTTTTTGATAGCTTCGAAGAAATTGATGAATGGATGATGTTCTTATCAAGAAACAATGTGACAAAACTCGCTCTTTATAATTCAAATCGACGCTATGAGCTTCCTTCTCATGTGTTTTCATGTTTAGGATTAAGAATGTTGATATTGGAGAATTGTTTTTTCAATCCACCACTTCAGTTTGAAGGATTTCATAATCTTGAAGATGTTTTTCTTCAGCATATTGATTTTGGGAAGAATTTAAGTGGAAATCAGATGAACTTACCACAACTTAAGAATCTGAATTTTCTTGAGTGTACGAATGTTCACAATTTCAACATCAAGGCTACAAAGATGAAGAATTTGGTTCTTGTCGCGTGTCCAGATGCTAATTTGCTCCAATTGTTGGAAAATCCATCTCTTATTGTGTTTGGTGTATCTTTTCGGTCAATCGAAGATTTTGTTAGAGTTGAAAAGATAAATTCCATCAGCTTTTTAAGTAGCTTAACAAGAATTGAAGACTTCTTTATCGAGGGTAATTTTCTTAAGGTATTATACGAAAGTAAACTTTAAATGCTTTCCATTTAATCTTCATATAACATTTATCAAAACGTTATACATTTTTGGTAAGGTTAATTCAAGGCATAGGGTTTTTTTAGTGAATTGCATTTTTGGTCCCTGTAGTATAAAATGACACAAATGGTCCCTGTGATTTTTTTACAAAAATGGTCCTGTGTTTGAATTACAAAATGACAGAAATGGTCCCTGTGTGAGAAAGTATACAGATATGGTCCCTCTGTTACAAAATTACAGAAATGGTCCCTTTGTAGGAAATATACAAAATTTCATAAAACATCCCTGTGTAAGATAAAGCCACAGAAATGATCCCTCTGTCAGAAAATTACATAAACGATACCCATCTAAGACAAATTTACAGAAATGGTCTCTGTAGGAAATAGACAAAATTTCATAAATCATCCATGTGTAAGATAACGCTACAGAAATGGTCCCTCTGTGAGAAAATTACATAAACGATACCCATCTAAGACAAATTTACAGAAATGGTCTCTCTGTAGGAAATAGACAAAATTTCAGAAATCATCCATGTGTAAGATAAAGCTACAGAAATGGTCCCTCTGTGAGAAAATTACAGAAACGATCTCTGTCTAAGACAAAATTACAGAAATGGTCCTTCTGTAGGAAATAGACAAAATTATAGTAATGATCCCTGTGTAAAATAAAGCTACAGAAATGGTCCCTCTGTGACACAATTACAGAAACGATAAGTTATCTAAATGGTGCCTATATATATGACAAAATTACAGAAATGGTCCGTGTGTGTAAGACAAATGAAAGAAATTATCCATGTTTAAAAAAATTACAAAAATGGTCCCTCTCATTGCAACACACCGTCTTAAAACCCTCGTTAGATGTAATTCTCACGTTTTTATGCAAGTTAAAATCTCACTTTCATCTCACAGTTTTTGTCTGCAGAAGAGGTTCCAAAGTGGCTTCCATTATCGATGAACAGCTTAAAACATTTAGTGTTGCAAGATTTTCAAGTTGGTGATTTGGATCAACTTAATGTTGCTCTTTGTTTGCTTCGAAACTCACCAAATCTAGACACATTACGTGTGCACTTTGAGGTTGTTAACTAAAAAATCCTAAAAATATATTTTATTTTATATGTCACAAGAGTTGAATTTTTTTTTTTCAGGAGCCTCGACATTTTGTGGGCCTAGCTTTAGATCATTTGGAAGCTCCAAACTGCTTGGACTATACATTGAAACAGTTAAGGACTGTGGAGATAACATGCTTAGAAGGATTAGAAGTGGAACTGCTTTTTATAAAGCTTCTACTTGCTCATTCACCTAATCTTGAGAAGATCTCCATTACACCAATTGGAGCTTTGAATATTCGAAAAAGATTTGGAATTGCTAAAGATGTTATGAGGTTTCCTCGAGCATCACCAAAAGCAGAAATGATCTACTTGAATCCCGAGAAATAGTTTTATAAGAATATGTTCAACTTGAAATTGTTGTTTAGCTTTATGCTTTTAATTGTTGTAAACATAGTGGAATTGGTTGTTTTTCTTTTTATTCCCCTTGATTTGTTGTTTGACATGGGGTGATTTTCGATAGACTTGTCAAGTATGATGGATTTTTTTTAGTTTACATTACTTCAAATGGTTTATTGTTGTCTCAAGATCATAGGATCAACTGCAATAATCTCTAAAAAAAAACTGTGATTTTTTTTTCAAAATTTTAAGTACAATGCTATAATTGTGTATTTTTTTGAATTGCAATGTTATAATAAGAAAACTTGAAAACAAATGGCTATAATTAATAAACAAAACATTGAAAGTAGGTTGATATTTCTGTCTTTTAACTGTAAATAAAAATCTCACATTTGCTTCAGAGTCTTGTTCTTGAATGCACGAAAGAGCCCTTCACATGCTTCTCAATATTATAGAGACTTTGTGGTTAAATTATCAACATGACAATTTTAGCACCTTCATGGTAAAGATTATATGATACTTGTGAAAAATTTTAAGATGTTATCCATTGCTTTTTAAAGATGATGACTTTAATGTAAAATAATAATAATAATAATAATAATAATAATAATAATAATAATAATAATAATAATAAAATAATTCAATGGTTTTTAAAGGTAAAATTGATAAAACACAATTGGGGAAAACGGCGGGTTTTGTAATAAAAATACAAACATTCTAAATTTGGGAAAATTTCAATGCTTAATATGTATCAAATACATGCATTATAAATTTAGTATAAAGAATAAGTCACAAAAAATCATTGTAGGTGTAGTTTCCTTGCAACTATCATATCAAACCATAAAACTCATTAAGTATTAACAAACTACAAACTATTTGATAATTCTTTAGTTCTAACAATCCACAAAAGTTGATAAATCCATTTGTGTCACTTCCTTGCAAATTGTAATTAATCATTTAAATTAACCAAAAAAATACATTAAGTATTAACCAAGTTATAAAACATTGATAATTCTTTAGTTCTTGCGATCCTCAAAATTAGATTAACCAAAAAAATCCATTAAGTATTAACCAAGTAAAATCTATTTGTGTCGCTTCCTTGCAAATTGCAATTAATCACTTGGAATGTTAACTCCAAATAACGGTAACATCTTAACTTGTTCCAGAACTTTAACCGGGTATTGGGGCGGGGAAAAAGGGGGTTAGTTATTTTCTACGGAATAGTTTTCTATCAGCAATTACTTATCTTTGGTAAATGTGTACCCAGGCAAAGGGACGATGACGAATGGTTCCTTTCAAAAAAACAGTTTTCTATCGAAAACATATGATTTTGTGTACAAACAACGTAATATACTCACATCATTGAAAACAAAGACTTATCTTTTAACTAATACTTCATGAGGGCGTAACATGTAAAGTTGTCTAGGTAATATGCTTCTAGACAATGACACATAACTTTGCGTGATTGATCCAATCACAATGGTATACTTGATGCTTAACAATAATTTTAATTGGACTTATTGGTCTTAACTCTTAATGCAAACATCTAGTTAACTTACTTGTTTGAAGACTTAACCGTTACAGTTTATATAAATAACGATATAATGATTTATTTTCAAAATATGATAAGGTTAAGACTATCGCATTCTCAACCAAAACTAGAGCCGACAAAAATTGACCCAACACACCAACCCAACCCAAACCCCATCAAAATTAGCAGGTTGGGTTGAGATTTTCATCCCATTTAAGTTAATTGAGTGAAACCACTAATCCATTTAATTGAATAGGTTGGGTTGGGTAAAAATTATCAACCCATTTTCAATCCATCAACCCATTTAACTTTAACGTTAATATATATATATATATATATATATAATATATATATATATATATATATATATATATATATATATATAATTTCATAATTATTTAAATATTATCATGTATTAATCTAAGTATTAATTTAGAAATTACAATGTTATATTATTATTTATGTTTTAAGAAAATACAACCCTAATTCCTATCTTTTTTCTTGGCACCGACGACACCGATTATTCCATAATCACTTTAAAATTAAATATTTTTAATATCATTTGAACAATTTCTTTGTATTTGTGAATTATGATTTTACTTTTTTCATAATTTGAATTTTTATTTAAGTTTGAAACTAATTAAAATAGTGTAATCTTTAGTTAATTTATTTACTTTTTTAAAATTTTTAAAAGGTTTAACCAATTTATTTAATAAGTTGGGTTGAGAACTACATAAATATATCTAACCGGTGACAACCTAATTATTTTAAATGTTAGGCTGAGTTGTAAATATCAAGTTATTTTAACAAACATGTTGGTTTGAGTTGAAATATTCAATCCAATTATTTGATGATTTGAACCCAAACGCAAACCCAAATCGACCAATTGTCAGCTCTACAAAGTTAGCCAACTAACTTCCCTCTCTTTTATCTGCATAACCTAGTTAAACCCAAAATCTCACCACCTTAACAATCCACTACCAATCATTTTGAATAAAAAAAACATAAGAATTTATTCCGTTTTCAAAAAAGTTAAAATTTTTATTATTTTTATTCTAACTTCCAAAAAAAATAAATTATATAAAACTTTATTAACACTGATCTCAATTTGTAGAAAAAACTAATCCATTGTTTGTATTTTTTTTAATAATTATAATGTATATTTGATAACAAAATGAGTGTTATAAAAAAATTACGTTTCTAATTAAAGAAGGCCATGGAAAAGGTTTTATATTTTATATTTTTTAAGTTAGTTAATATTAACTTTAAAATAGATAATAATTACTATAAGAAACTAATTAGAAAATTATGGACCCATTCGACAAACTAGCTGGCAGCGGGTAGCACGTAGCTTGTAACTTGTAGCTTTTTTGCTAAATGCTACACGAAATAGTATTTTGATTTGTAATGTTTTGTTTAAACAAAATGCTAGAAACTTGTAGTGTCAAACAAAACTTTCTGTTCAAAATGCATCGTTTTGCCAAACTCTAGAAGGTAGAAGTTTTCAAACGTTATGTGTTAAACACGCCCTATATATATATATATATATATATATATATATATATATTATATATATATATATATATATATATATATATATATATATATATATATATATTGCAATGTGCTGCCGTGTATTCACCTATCTATAAAAAAGTTTACAACTTGTGGTTGTTGGCTCAAACCTATTGGTATGTTTTGATATTTTTTATTTTTATTTTATATTTTTGTCGACGGACACATCATTCTGTTACGGACGGAGATAATCTAAGGGTCAATTTATAAAGTTCAACAAACTTATCTAAAAAACATTTTAATAGATTGGTAGGATTAAAGACCCTCCAAATATTTATTTCATTAATACAAGCAAACTTCAGGATCTTTTTTTTTTTAAAGAAGATTATTAATGTAATAATATAATTTTTGTTAGATTTATCTAAGAATTTATTTTAAACTAAAACATTAGAACTTACTATTATTTGTAATTTATCTAATCCAACCACTTCTAAAACATGCATATAATCACCCATTTTTACCTGTGACATAATCTTATCAGATTTAACTTTTATGTTAAATAAGCGTAAAATATTATTATAAAACAGATATAAATAAATCACACAACATTGTTGGTCATGAAAAAAGAAAACATACAACCAAAAAACAAAGTTGCCTAATCTTATTAATTTTAACTTTTATGTTAAATAGAGGTAAAATATGATTACAAAACAAATATAAACAAATCACAGAACTTTGTTGGTCATAAAAAAAGAATAAATACAAAAAATTAAAAAGAAAGTTGCGAAGAGAGAGATACTTATTGCAAACATATATGAGTATTGATTTTGCCGGTTCTCATGCACATGCTGAAACAAACATATATTTATAGTGGTGAAATTATATGGGAAAAGTTTATACCCTGTATCAAAATTCTTAGCTCCACCACCGTTACCTATGCCTTCTAGTTGCCACTTTAATGACTTTTGTATATCATATAAATTCTGCTCACTTTGATATAACTTTTTGTTTGATATGTTTAAGCATTGAAACAATCATAAACATGCACACATAATTATAAACGTGAAAATATAAAATATATCTTACCATTATAAGCACAAAAATTTTAAATTACTAAATATTTCTATATATGTTGCAAGAAAAACCATCTGAAGAACGAACTACAAGCCGAAACAACGGTGACGGGGATGTAGTGAGTTGCTGGTTGTGGTGGCATTTAGGCCTTCTAAGAGAAAGAAAGAGATGCCAATAATGGAAAGGGTAAATTGTGATGCTGCTCTGGTGGTGGCAGACGTAAACCATGGTGGTGACAGACGTAAACCATGGTGGTAAGTGGTTTGTGTCTAGGATTTTTTTTAGCGAGGGAATGAAAGAGTCTTCCAAGAACCAAGTACATCCATATGTTTTTTCATTCCTTTCTACACCGTAATCACCGAAAACATTAAAAGATGGAGGCAGTTTTACCCAAATCTCCCTTTTCTTCTTCAAAGTTGTTCATCATATGGTTCTATAGAAGCTTATGTAAGAATCGGAAGCGATAATAGACAATTTTCGGGCAGATTAGTCTATTAGTTGTTCATTATATAAGGAGAGGGCGCCAAGTGATGAGTGAGTGGTGAATGAAGTGATGGTGGTGGTGATTGGTTTCTCAGGTAAACAGGTGAATGAACTAAGATAGGTTAGGACATATAAAGTAGATATGTGACCGAGGGTTTTCACGAGGGATGAGATAAGGCATCGATTCAAATTCCGAGAGGAACGGAAGTCTGTTCAAATGATCTGTACCAAATATTACAATGACATAACAGAATTAAAGGGGGTGGAGTCAAAGATATGCATCGATAAATTGTACATAGAATATAACAACCAAAAAAATATACCATGATTACATGATAAAGTATATGAAACTTACAAACCTCATAACTTAGTAGGCCAATTTTGGATACATATCACAAAAGTAGTAGTGATAAGGAAACTTCATAAAAGTCTCTATATTTTGAATAACTATTATAGAAGTTACTATATTTTATATTATCAGTTTTGATATTCAAAATATGATATTACCAAATAGAGTCACGTAATCATGCATTCACATGTCAACATGGTTGACCGGCTAAATGGTAAAAATTCAAACAAATAGGTAAATGGAATCTCGGATTTGAGACAAAGAATAACGCAATATTAAAATTTAATTTAGTGAAAACCTAGTCTTTTTTATGGAATTTGTCCATATAAAAATACGCATTGATATTCCCGTATTATACAAAAAAACAACCCTAAAAATAAGGGTAACACATTAAAATTTCAACTTTGTATATGGGTTGGATATAGATCGTTTATGCATCGATGCTTATCAAGTTTGACGGAAAATTGAGATATTTTTTTATAGGTGGAGATCGTTTGTGGGGTATTTGAGTTTTAATTCAGAATCAATGGGTTAAAATAGATGTTAGTAATTACAATGACGATGCACATGAATGGTGGGATTATCGAAACAATCTCCTTACTTTTTTTTTTTTTTTTTTTTTTTTAAATACGATTGAGTATGTCGTTCCGCCACATTGTTCTCTCTTTTTTTTTATTTTAAATACGATTGAGTATGTCGTTCCGCCACATTGTTCTCATGAAGTATTTTCATTTTGTTCAGATTTTGAGATAGTGACTATGCCAAATCAAAATATATTTTAATCGTCAACTCATGTTTTATTTTGTTTAATGATATTTATTTTTTATGTTATTTTATATTATTTTTTTATTTGTCGGCTTTTTATAACTTTATATGAATTTTTTATATATTACCCGCGTTTAACGCGGATCTAGTATATAATTAAAACTGAAATATCATGTAGGTGCCACGTTCACTATTGATGCTAGCATTACATGAACCGCCACCTCACTTTACTCGGAAACATTTTCACATTTTCCAAAATAACATCTTTGACATCTATTTTAAATTTTGATCATGCAAATGCCAATAAAAACATGGATGACCAAATAAGATCAAACAAAGTAGTTTGTTGGCCAATTTATTATTTTCTAGAAAATAGCTAAGTAGGTAGATTTAACAATTTATGGACCAAAATCTATTTAAAATCTTGCAATAGGACAAAATTTATACATAAAATTTTACTAGACCTAAACAAAAAAATGTTAAAAACATATAGACCAAATTTGTAATTACGTCCATATTTAATTTCGGGGATGGTTGGTGGGCAACATACCCTAAATTGTAAATTCCCAATTGTTTGACATTCTAATTTGGTCTCTCCGATCGTATCTCCATTCTCGATGGGTAAGTTTCTACTTCATAAACCTTCACGTATTTAGTTCTCGTACAACAAATGTCGATATCCTTTTACTGTTGTGTCGATTTATTTGTGAGATTTTGGTCGAATTATGCTTTCTTTTCCTCAATCCAGTTGAATTCGCAAACTCTGCTTTTGTAAAATTCATTGTCAATTATCACGTATCCATTGGAAAACATAAATCAAGAAACCGATTTGAGAAGATCTATTACATACGATTTGAAACATAATCGGATAGTTGCTAATTATGCATGTCAGCAAGTATAAAAGGGTTTAAGCTAGGTTTTTCCTGTATATTATTTAGTCATGTAATTTCATTAGATTTGTATCCCATTTTTATCACAGGGAAACGTAAAAGGAGATCTGTAACTTTTAATGGAGAAGATAGAATCAGTAAGTTGCCAGAGCACTTAATAGACTCAATCTTAGAGCGGATCCCATTTGAAGATGCTATAAAAACAAGCATCATATCAAAAAAATAGAGGTACAAATGGACTTCAATGAAGGTGTTGACTTTTGATGACGACTTCAATGAAAAAATTGCAAAAAATGGAGCTTTTGATTACAATGAATATATAAGCACCATAAACCAAGTGTTAAACCTTCACAAGGGTCCTATCTCAAAATTTGTTATCTATATACCACCTATGATTCTTGATAGCTTCGAAGAAATTGATGAATGGATGATGTTGTTATCAAGAAACAATGTGACAAAACTCGTTCTTACTAATGCAAATCGACGTTATGAGCTTCCTTCTCATGTGTTTTCATGTTTAGGATTAACAGAGTTGATATTGGAAAATTGTTACTTCAATCCACCACTTCAGTTTGAAGGATTTCGTAATCTTGAAGAACTTTTTCTTGAGCATATTGATTTTGGGGAGAATTTAAGTGGAAATCAGATCAACTTACCACAACTTAAGAATCTGAATTTTCTCGAGTGTACGAATGTTCACAATTTCAACATCAAGGCTACAAAGATGAAGAGTTTGATTCTAGTCACGTGTCCTGATGCTAATTTGCTACAATTGTTGGAAAATCCTTCAATTGTTGTGTTTGGTGTATCTTTTCTGACTTTTGAAGATTTTGATAGAGTTGAGATGATAAATTCCATCAGCTTTTTAAGTAGCTTAACAAAAATTGAAGACTTCTTAATCGAGGGTAATTTTCTTAAGGTATGATACGAAAGTAAGCTTTAAATGCTTTCCATTTACTCTTCCTTAATTACCAATATATAATAGACGCGAATACGCGATTGAGTATTGATAAGGTTAATTCAAACTATAGGGTTTTTTTAGTGAATTGTTTTTTTGGTCCCTGCAGAATTCAAATAGATGAAATGACAGAAATGGTCGCTGTAACGTTTTTACAAAAATGGTCTTCGGTTTGAAAAACAAAATGACAGAAATGGTCCCTGTTTGAGATTTTTTTTACAGAAATGGTCCTTCTGTAAGAAAATTATAGAAACGATCCCCGTCTAAGACAAAATTACAGAAGTGGTCCCTCTGTAGGAATAGAAGAAATTGCAGAAATGAACCCTGCGTAAGATAAAGCTACAGAAATGGTCCCTCTGTGAAAAAGTTACAGAAGCAATCTCCGTCTAAGACGTTTACAAAAATGGTCCGTTTGTAGGAAATAGAACAAATTACAGAAATGATACATGTGTAATATAAAGCTACATAAATGGTCCCTCTGTGACAAAATTACAGAAACGATCCCCATCTAAGACAAATTTACAGAAATGGTCCCTCCGTAGTATGTAGGAAATAGACAAAATTATAGAAATGATCCCTGTGAAAGCTAATGCTACAGATATGGTTCCTCTGTGACAAAATTACAGAAACAACCCCTGTCTATGACAAATATACAGAAATGGTCCCTCTGTAGGAAATAGACAAAATTACAGAATTGATCCCTGTGTAACGAAGTTATTCAGGTAGTGCCTATATATATGAAAAAGTTACAGAATTGGTCCCTGTGTGTAAAAACAAAGTTAAAGAAATTATGCATGTTTAACGAAATTACAGAAATGGTCCCTCTCGTTGCAACAAACTGTCTTAAAACCCTCGTTAGTTGTAATTCTCACGTTTTTATGCAACTTAAAATCTCACTTTCACCTCATAGTTTTTGTCTGCAGCAGTGATTCCAAAGTGGTTTCCATTATCAATGAACAGCTTGAAGTGTTTAGTGTTGCAAGATTTTGAAGTTGGTGATTTGGATCAACTTGATGTTGCTCTTTGTTTGCTTCGAAACTCACCAAATCTAGACACATTACGTGTGCACTTTGAGGTTGTTAACTAAAAAAATACTAAAATTATATTTTATTTATATGTCACAAGACTTGAATTTTTATGTTTTTTCAGGAGCCTCGAGATCTTGTGGTCCTAGCTTTAGATCATTTGGAATATCCAAACTGCTTGGACTATACATTGAAACAGTTAAGGACTGTGGAGATATCATGTTTAGAAGGATTAAAAGTTGAATTGCTTTTTATAAAGCTTCTACTTGCTCATTCACCTAATCTTGAGAAGATCTCCATTAAACCAATTCGAGGTCTGAATATTCGAAGAAGATTTGCGATTGCTAAAAAAGTTATGAGGTTCCCTCGAGCCTCACCAAAAGCAGAAATGATCTACTTGAATCCCGAGAAATAGTTTTATAAGAATATGTTCAACTTGAAATTGTTGTTTAGCTTTTATGCTTTTCGTTGTTGTAAACATAGTGGAATTGGTTGTTTTTCTTTTTATTCACCTTGATTTGTTGTTTGACATGGGTGATTTTCGATAGAAGTGTCAAGTATGATGGATTTTTTTTAGTTTACATTACTTCAAATGGTTTATTGTTGTCTCGAAATCAGAGGATCAACTGCAATCTCTATAAAAAAAACTGTGATTTTTTTTTCAAAATATTAATTACAATGTTATAATTGTGTGATTATTTTTTTAGTGCAATGTTATAATAAGAAAAACTTGAAAACAAATTGCTATAATTAATAAACAAAACAAGGAAAGTAGGTTGATATCTCTTGCTTTTAACTGTAAATAAAAATCTCACTTTTGCTTCAGAGTCTAGTTCTTTAATGTAAAAAATAAAACAAAATAAATAATTCAATGGTTTTTGAAGGTAAACATGATAAAACACAATCGGGGAAAACGGTGGGTTTTGTAACAAAAATACAAACATTCTAAATTTGGGAAAATTTCAATGTTAAATATGTATCAAATACACGCATTCTAAATTTGGTATAAAGAACAAACCACAAACAAAACATTGTAGGAATAGTTTCCTTGCAACTATCGTTCAAACCATAAAGCTCATTAAGTATTAACCAAGTTATAAAATATTGATAATTCTTTAGTTATTACAATCCTCAAAAGTTGATAAATCCATTTGTGTGCCTTCCTTGCAAATTGTAATTAATCAATTAAATTAACCAAAAAAAAACCATTAAGTATTAACCAAGTTATAAAATATTGATAATTCTTTAGTTCTTACAATTCTCAAAAGTTGATAAATCCATTTGTGTCGCTTTTTTTTTTTTTCGGAAATTAAAATTAATCACTTAGAATGTTAACTCCAGATTACGATAACATCTTAACTTGTTCTGGTCTTTGACTGAGTATTGGGGCGAGGGAAGAGGGGGTTAGTTATTTTCTAGGGAATAGTTTTTTTTATCAATAGTTACTTATCTTGTATAAATGTGTACCCATGAAAAGGGACGATGACGAATGGTTCCTTTCAAAAAAATAGTTTTCTATCGAAAACATATGATTTTGTGTGTAAACGTCATATTATACTCACGTCATTGAAAACAAAGGCGTATCTTTTAACTGATACTTCCATGAGGACGTAAGATGTAAAGTTGTCCATGTAATATGCTTCTAAACAATGACATATAAAGTTGACATGCTTTGCATGATCGATCTAATCACAATGGTATATTTGATGCTTAACGATAGTTTTAATTGAACTTATTGATCTTAACTCTTAATGCAAATGTCGAGTTAACTTACTTGCTTGAAGACTTAACCATTAACGTTTATATAAATAATGATATAATGATTTATTTTCAAAATATGATAAGGTTAAGACTATCTTATTCACAACCAAAACCATAGAGCTGACAAAAATCGACCTAACAAACAAACCCAACCCGAACCCTATTTATTTTTATTTTATTTTATTTTATATTCTAGTCGACATACACATAAGGATCAATTTATAAATTTCAACAAATTTATCTAAACAAAATTTTAATGGATTGAGAGGATTAAAGACAATCCAAATATTTATTTCTTTAATACAAGCAAACTTCCGGATGTTTTTTATTATTGTTTTTAAATAATATTATTAATGTAGTAACATACTTTTTTTCAGATTTATCCAAGCAATTATTTTACACAAAACCATCACAACTTACTATTATTTGTAATTAATATAATCCAACCACTTCAAAAACGTGCATAAAATCACCCATTTTTACCTGTTACATAATCTTATCAATTTTAACTTTTATGTTAAATAAGGGTAAAATATTATTACAAAACAGATACAAATAAATCACACAACTTTGTTGGGAATGATAAAAGAAAAAATACAACCAAAAAAGAAAGTTGTCTAACCTTATCAATTTTAATTTTTATGTTAAATAAGGATAAAATATGATTACAAAACAAATATAAATAAATCACAGAACTTTTTTGGTCACAATATATATATATATATATATATATATATATATATATATATATAACAAATTAAAAACAAAGTTGAGAAGAGAGAGATATTTATGGCAAACATATCTAAGTATTGAATCTGTTGTCATGCACATGCTCAAACAAACCTATTATCTATCAGTGGTGGAGTTATATGGGATGGTGGAGTACTATAACATCCCCAAAAAATTGATTTTTATATTTAAAAACATTATTCGTAAACATGTTTTATGTTATTATATCTCCAAATAAAAAATTATACCATGTTTTTAATACACGGGATATGATAAGTATACAAAATATATCATTTACGGTTACTACAACAATGGTAGAAATAGCTTTTCGGAATGATGCATGTAAAATTAAGTTACAGAATAGCATCGATGATTAAGTTGTAAACGATTGTTTATTCAATTTTTTTAAAAAGATGTGTTTTTACAAGTTTTTGATAATAATAGTATCGACCGATTTCAAGACATGACTAGATAGATTCAATTGTAACTTTTGCTTAAATTAATATATTATATATATATATATATATATATATATATATATATATATATATATATATATATATATATATATTTCGATTTAACACTATAAATGTTAAGAAACTCTTTGAACAGATAATTTTGAATCTAGAAAAAGATTATACCCCGTATTGAAATTCCTAGCTCCGTCACTGTTACCTTTGCCTTCTAGTTGCAACTTTAATGACTTTTGTATACCATATAGATCCTACTCACTTTCATCTAACTTTTTGTTTGATATGTTTAAGCATTGAAATTGTCATACACATGCACACATAATTATAAACACCAAAATATAAAATATATCTTACCATTATAAGCACCAAAAATATTCAAATTACTAAATATTTCTATATATGTTGCAAGAAAAACCATCTCAAGAACGTGCTACAAGCCGGAACAACGGTGACGGGATTTAGTGAGTTGGTCGTCGTGGTGGCATTTAGGGCTTTTATAGAAAGAAAGCGATGCCAACAATGGAAAGGATAAACTGTGATGGTGCTCTGGTGGTGGCACGGTGGTAAGTGGTTTGTGTCTAGGGTTTTTTTTAGCGAGCGAGGGAGAGAGTCTTCCAAGAACCAAGCACATCTATAGCTTTTTCATTCCTTTCTACACCCCAATCACGGAAAACATGAAAAGATGGAGGCAGTTTTACCTAAATCTCCTTTTTTTCTTCTTCAAAGTTGTTAATATACAGTTCTATAGAAGCTTATGTAAGAATCGGAAGCGATAATGGACAATTTTCGGGCAGATTAGTCTATTAGTTATTCATTATATAAGGAGAGGGCGGTAAGAGATGAGTGGTGAAATATGTGATGGTAGTGGTGATTGGTTTCTCAGGTAAGCTTGTGAATGAACTAAGATAGGTTAGGACATATAAAGTAGATATGTGACAGTGGGTTTTCACGAGGGATGAGATAAGGGATCAATTCAAATTCTGAATGGAATGGAAGTCAAATGATTAGCACACGATATTATAATGATGAAACAGAAGTAAAGGGGACCGAGTCAAAGATATGCATCGGTAAATTGTACATACAATATAACAACCAGAAAAAATATACCATGATTACATGATCAAGTATAAGAAACTTACAAACCATGAGTCACTTGGTAGGCCAATTTTGGATACATATCACAAAGTAATAGTGATAAGGAAACTTCATAAAAATCACTATATTTTGAATAACTATTATAAAAGTTACTATATTTTATATTTATCAGTTTTGATACTCAAAATATAATGTCACTGAATAGAGTCACGTAATCATGCCCTATCAGCACGACGCATTATCAAAATTCACATGTCAACCAAGTTGAGTGGTTAAACGGTAAAAATTATAACAAATTAGTAAAAGGAATGTCAGATTTGAGACAAAGAATAACACAATATTAAAATTTAATTTTTGTGAAAACCTAGTGTTTTTTATGGAATTTTTCCATATAAAAATATACATTGATATTCTCGTATTATACAAGATAACAACCCTAAAAATATGGGTAACGCATTCAAATTTAACCTTTGTATATGTGTTCGATATAGATCGCATTCAAATTTCAAATTTGTATACGGGTTGGATATAGATCATTAGATTGGTTGGCAAGTATTTGTTAGTTGTTACAAACCTTCTCGTCTACACGTAAAAAATTAATATCGCTAGAGTACTTTTCATCTAAAATTTTTGACATTCCCTTTGATGGTATCTTCAAGTGATGATGCGTAAGTTTCTACTTCACAAGCCTCTATGTATTTGATTCATTGAAAGTCGTATGTGAAATCTCAATATCGTGTCCCAGTAATTAATATCAATTTGTTTGAAGTCTAATCTTTATGATCTCATTCCAGTTGAATAAACCGATCACTTTGAGAAGATTATGTAGTACTTAGATGCCGGTTAACTTTGCAAGGCAGGGATTAAGCTAGGCTTTGCCAGTATAATTCCATTAGTTTAAGTGATTATAAGTTAGGTTTTGCTAGGGGAAACCATTGATTCAGTTATAAGCTTGAGGATAAGTCAAATAAATTGTAGACATGGGAAAATACAATGAATAACATAGAGAGAGGTGAACCCTTTCTAGGGCTTTGTTAATATTTAAAGCATAATGATCAACTCACATATACTGCAAATAAAACAATTCTGTTATCTTACTATACCGAAAAGATGACAATCATTAACTCATAAATAGTGCAAATAAATCAATTCTTTTCTCAGTCTATTATAGTGTTTTTTAGAACATGACAGTTATAATGTGTAATTAATTTATTTAATTTCTAGTAACATTTTATGTTATGAAAACTTGTCAAAATTAAAGTGAAAAAGAGGAATCCTTGTAAGCATGTTTGTAAGAAATGAAACGTAAAATGGAAATTTGTGGATAATATCAATGGACTTTTCTCTCAATACTAAT